ATACATTCGAATAACTAAAAAATCATAAATTACTTCATTAATAGTATAGAATTCCACTATAATTTATCAAGTTTAGTGACTAAGATGTACTTTAGTCTAAAAAAAATATGAAATTTCAAGCAGATTAAAGATACACCCTACCTCCTTGAAATATTGGTTCAAAAGAAAGAAATGATATACAATCCCGTTAAAATGGCTGAGAAAGCCAATAGGGGGATATTCTGAGCTTTCAATTGGTTATTCATGTCATATATAGAAGTGAGTGTATATAAAGGAGCATTTCCAAAAATGGAAAGAGGTGGGTGGGGTGCCACTGTGTTTGATTTATTACATGAGCAATATCTTAGCAAATAGAAAAGATAAGATGTTCTTTATTTTATATTCTAGCTTGTCAATATCAGTAATTTGAGTTTTTAATTCGTACAAAACTATAGATCTGGTATTTTGACTTCACAAACATCTAATTTGAACCAGTGCTGCATTCAACGTAGCACATGACACAAATTGATGTTTATCTGTGATTTTTAATACTTATTTTTAAATTAAGAAATTGAGTAATGCATAGTACTAAAATTTGTACTATAATCTACAGTTTGATACCAAATTTAGTGGCATAAATTCATGAAATAGTAGTTTAATAAAATTTTGAATGCAAGTCAACAAATGAGAATAACATGGCCTTTCACCTGTGACCCATCTCAAAAGGTTTAACAGAAACATGGGAGTAAAATAGTACAATCTGAGGTACTATTATATTTCAGTTTTTTCACTGTATTGCTCCATACAATTCCCATTGCATAGCATTAAAAATATCTTTAATTGATCTTGTTTACTGAACCATTTTGTTACATTAAGAAATCAATACTTATTAGCAGGTCAAGCTCAGGTTTTGAAGAGAGCTGGTGTGCTAACCAAACTCTGTCTGTAAATCAGACTTTTGATTTTAGTGAAATGCTCCCGACTCTTTCTAGAGTGAGACAGCATTTCAGCTTCTATGTTGAGGCTTTCAATAAACTGAAGATTGCTTCAGTATAGAAGATGAAGCTTCACCCCCACTCTAGAAAAGGCAGGAGCAGTCTATTAACACCAAATCTCTACTATGCCTATACTGCCTAAAATAATCCTGAAACAATAATTACCTTAAATATAATTACCGAGAACATTAGAGAGTAATTATGTTGGCTCTACAGCATAAATCCTATAACCTAAAAATAATCACACAATTTGGCTACAGATATTTTCTTAAAGTAGCCTTCAAACATACGAGGTACTTTCCATACAATGATTCTTATAATATGGAAAATTCTTCACAGATATTAAACTCTCAATAAATATACATATTGCAAAGTTACATCACTATTCAATTTGAAAACTTAAGTTAACAAAAGATGAATGTCCATAAAAGACCTAAAATTATTCATATCAGAATACGATGAAAATTTTTACAAATACAGTGAGAGATAAAATAAATTGTTCAATGTTATATTCTTACCACATCATAATTTCCAAGATGGCTTCCACTAACATGCGAGAACCTGTAAATTAATCAGAGTATATTTTTTGTGATAATCATTTCAGGAACAGTTAAATAATATATTGTATACTTACTAACATATATGACAATTTAAATCAACTCATATAGTTGACCAAAACACTGACATTTCATTATGGCAGCCCATTTAACAGAATTGGTAAGCAAAATATTAGCATGTCTTGCATCTGCATTATATGGCATCTACACGAAAAATTCCTTAGTTTCATGTTCCAGTACTTGAATTAGCTTACAATTTAATAATTTTATTCAGTGGTTCTTAAACATTTTTGTTGATGGACCACCTGATTTTTTTTTTATCTCAACAGACCACAATGGGATCCTGCTGCTGCTGCTTCCTTACTGTAATCATGCAACCTTCCCATGGACCAGCTGCAGAAAACAGATTGAGAACCTCTGAGCTACATCATTTGCATCACCATAGTCAGCAGACTCACAGCTCTGATTGCCCGCATTATGTGCTATTTGTATGGTTTTGGAAGAAGCAGTGAAAGTCTTGGTGATGGTAGCCTAGTTATTACAAAGCTGGTGTAACATGGGTACAATATCCCTGAGGGACACTAGCAAATCAACCACATACTGGATGATTTTGTAGGAGATTTATAAGGAGTAAACCTTCAAATCTTTGGGAACATGGAGTAGAAAATTACCAAAATGTATCCATGTACACAAAATTCCCTGCAAGTTTCAATTCCATATTCTACATATGACTATTCCAAATTACATAGAGCCACTAAAGCCATATTTCCATCTCATATTAAGTTTCTGTGACATACTGAGACATTTTATGCCTTAGATGACACCCATCCTTTCAAAAATTACTCTCTTCTGGTACTTCATATTTATCACGAATTATGCACTATGGTTATATAACAGAAAAGTGCATTTCAAATTATATATTGCAATCTTTAGACTATGTTAGTATGCTGTGGAAGATGCTAGCTTAATATTGTATCTTGGAGAGGTGCAAGAAGATTGGAAGTTAGCTAATGCTATACCTCTTTTCAAGGAAGGTGATAACAATTGACTCAATAATTATAGGCCTATTAGTCTTACATCAATGGTGAGAAAAGTTTTTGAAAGACCGACAAAGGATGCTTTGCAAAGTTATTTAACAGTTTAATTTTTTTTATTGTTCAGCCATCATGGTTTCATGCCTATCTAATCTTTTGAAATTCTTTTAAGAGGTTATTGTTTATGAAGATGAGGATACAGGTGTGGATTTGGTGTATCTGGATTTTCAGAAAGCATTTGTCAAGGTGCCACATAAAAGGATTGTTAAAAAAGTTATTTCTGTTGGTGTGGGGAATAGGTTGGCTCATTGAATAAAAAACTGCCTGGATGGAAGAAAGCAGTACAATCAAACTTGATTAATGTCACAAGTAGGGCACCTCAAGATGCAGTGTTAGGACCTTTACACTTTTTGATTTACATCAATAACATAGATGAAGAAATGGTCAATAAATTATTTAAATTTACTGATAATATTAAAGTTGTGGGTGTTGCTAGTTGCGAGGAGGAGGATTCTACTTCAAAAGGATTTGGATCTTTTGGTGAATTGGGCAAATGGCTTTTAATTATAATAAAATGCAGGGTAATGCATGTGGGATATCACAATTTGAATTGTGATTATAATTTTGATAGGAATAACCTTAACACTGTTATGGAAGAAAAATTTTAGTATTCTGGTTATTCAATCTCTTAAGCTTTCCAAACAATGTTCTGTTGCTTGTTGAAGATAGTATGTTTAGGCCACATTTGAAGTACTGTTCAGTTTTGGGTTCCTTACTTTAGAAAAAAACATTGAATTATTGAAAAGGGTGAATAGGATGATACTTGGGATAGCAAGGTTGTCATACGAGGATGGGTAATGATCTCTGAAATTATTTTCTCTTGAAAACAGAAGAGTTAGAAGGAATCTGATTGAAGTATTTAAGATTGATAAGAGAATTGACAGTGTTGATGGATCTCTTTTTTTTCATATTTAATGGTCAGAATGGTAAGACTAGGGGACACATATGTAAATTTTGGCAGGATAAAAGTCATCTTTAGCTAAGGCAGTTTTATTTTTCTAACACAGTGGTTGGCATTTGGAATGGGATGCCTTCAGACGTAATAGATGCAGTTACTTTAAGGGAAGGCTTGATAAACATTTGAATGATAAAGGTGGGCTCTGAGGGTTTTAATCCAGTTTTGTATAGTGGAGAGACTGCTTAGATGGACCAACGGGTTCCTTGTAATTTTTAAACTATATATATGGGTGGGTGTGGGCAGGGGTATTCAAACATATTATATAAACAAATTACCATTTGACTCTTTAAGGTTATCTTTTCACACCCACCCTTGAAGAGAGTAAACCTTAAATCCAACCCTTATTTTTCAGGAAATCACCTCTTAATCATTTGTTTGTAGTTAAGCATGAAGGTATACAATGGGCTACCTGTGCTTTGCCAATCCAGTTTTTAGTGTTATAAGCCTTCAGACTTTCAGCTGTGTCAATGGAGGGGGGGGGGTCTCTTAATTGAATTTATTTGGAGGTTGATCCATTGGACTGACTCCACGCTGGAGAAGTAATGTTGACTATAATATCAAATTCACTACATGTGTTTACATATGTGGCAAGCTTTTAGTAAAATGTACTCAAAATTTAAGATGCATTACAAAAGTATTTGTACTTAAGATATGTTGTAAGGTGATGTTCAAGTGAAAAATAAAGATACTTTTGCTCATTGTACAGTTTGAATATTGTATTTGTATGACCTCTAGCTCCTCCAAAATGCACATCTAGTTTTTACTCTCATTTACTATCAACTGTCACTAAATTATAAATTTAGGGTACAATTAATAGTTGATAACTCTGCTATAATACCACATTGAATTGCACTCTGTAAAAGGTTGTGGCATGTACAATTTGAACCCCACCCACCAATGCATGCAGAGTTAAACTTCTGTAAAGTGCTGATCTTAACTATTATAGATGGCAATTCATTCCTTAGGTCAATCACTGTTATAAAAATTAACATTCTTAACTGGATCTCAGTCTGTATTTTACAAATCTTAAGCTTATGTCCTCTCATCCCAGGATCTTCAGAATATAACACAAAGAAAGCAGAGGTCTTTGTTCTATCAATTCCTCTGATAATCATGCCAACTTCACTACAATTACCTCTTATACTTCTCTTTTAACTAGAAAATAAAGTAGATTTTAACTTAACCCTGCAAGACAATCCTTTCGTCCCTGGAATCATTCTAGTAGCTCTCCTCTGAACCCTTTACAACAAGTCAAGATACTCTCTTAAATAAGGAAAACAAAACTCTATACAGTATTTTAAGCGCAGTTTAACTAGTGACTTGAATAGTGGTTACTTTTTTGGCTTGTAATCAATATGTCTATAAACATGTACTATTATCTTTACTAATAGTAACAGAGAGGTCCTTTTATTGCTTGAGTGTCTTAAGCCACCAAGATTTTTTCAGTAATTCGGTGGGTTCCAATCTATAACAAAAGTGATCCAAATTATGGGTCATATGATCATTATTAGAAAATCCAAGGCTCTTTATATGCAATTAAAAGTTCTTTTTTTTTGTTTACTTGAATTATTTGTTAAGGTAACTTGAAATTATTGGTCTGATTTCATGAAATTTTAAAGGGACAAAAGGAGCTTATTAGCCCACCAAAGATGTCCCTTCAAGCTCCCAACTATAACCACTCCTTACTACTCATGTATTCATCCAATATTTTCTTGAACTCAGTTAAATCTTCTGTCCCCACTACCCTTGAAGGCAGCTCATTCCAAAAGCCAACCACCCTGTTTGAAAAGTAATACTGTCTAAACTGCAGACAATTTTT